CAAACAATCTGATAGATCCCAATGAGTATATCGAAGAACTAAGCGATAATGAGGATTGGGATAGCGTAAGTTTCTCTTTTTGACTTCACTGTTCACCACATTGAAGCTTGGTTTAGATGGGTCGATTGTCGCAAAGAACACCATTAAAACGGGAGGCGGAAGCACCACTCGACAGACCCCGTGAGCATAGATTCTGCAATAATTGATTTATTAAAATTAAGATTGGTAATGCATAGAGAAACGGGCTTTGCTTGATGCTCCACCATCACCGAGGCCTACTTCTGTTGGCGTTGATCCATGGCAAAACCCATCAGCAGTTACAACAAAACCTCTATATCCTAAAGCATATTCAAGTGTCAGTTTTACTCCACCCACTGAGGTGTGTAGCCAAATGCAATGAGATGCAATTTTCGCTCCTTATTAACTTCTTTCTAGAAATCGTTCTTTCGCATGGAACTTCCTAGCGTCCCGCCCAGAATCTACTTCGATCACAGATTGTAAATCAAGGTGTCTTTTTTTCAGGAAGATTTTCATAAAGTTGTTTTAGAGAAGAGCAGGAAGATGTATCGGAAGTAGGGCCACCGCAGGCCAGGATAGCACCAGCGGCGCCTTTATCCCAAGGTTTGGATTTCACCTATGCTCAATGTAGCATTTGGGTTTGATTAATCGTTTTGAATATATTATTTAAATCGACAAGATTAGGTTCCTTTTATGGAAGTACATTTTGAATTTAGGCATTTCACATCACACAAGTTGGCGACATTCGAGGAAACCTTCAAAGGTTTGTTCAGTGATTCTTGTTCAACTCTAATTGTGTGTGAAACCATTAGCGAAATCAGTATACAGTACGGACCATAGATAGATAATATTTCAAAACTAACTTCATCTATTTGCGGTTACTTTTAAAATTAAGTAGTCAAAAATAGGAGCCGAAGCGTACAAAATACAGCTGTGAATTGAATTTTGAACAAAATTCAGAGAGATAAAGGAGTAGAAATTGAGAAACAGAATGGAACCAGTTCTGGCTACAGTGATGAAGTTGGCTCTAGAAGGCCGGTTCAGCAGCATTTCGTAAACCGCCTTTGTCTGGGTTACCTGAAAGATCCAAGTTTCCTCGTGCCACAAAATTTTTCTTTCACCTAAGTGAC